GTCCTCGAACTCACCCCAAAGAACACAACAGGCTGATCGGAAATGGGATAAAGGGTGACTTCACGCTCCTGGCACCGGATGTCGGCTCGGTAACGGGTGAGCCAGTCCATGCCCAAGATCACGTCAAAGTCTCAGATATCAATTACATAGACGTCGGCCCCCAAAACTCGACCACCAATACAGATAGGAAGATTGCGAACCACTGAATCAGAGATAATAATTTTTCCCGAGGCCAAACTAACCTCGAGAGGATCACAAGCATGCACGGTGCTAATAGATAAGTCCTCCAAACAACGAGATGATATAAACGAATGGGTAGCACCAGTATCACATAAGACAAAAACAGACACATAGGATACCGAAAGCATTCCGGACATGGTACCTGCATTGCGAGCGGCCTCATCATGGGTGATGGTATAGACTCGGGCCTGACCCCCAGCCCTCTGCTGGAACGGTGGGGGCTGCTGATGCTGCTGATGAGGTGGCGGTGGGGGAAGCTGCTGCTGACGCTGCTGGGCAAAGGGCTGCTGCTGTTGTTGTTTTTTCGGTTTGGTGCAGACACTGTCATAGTGACCCGGATGGTTGCAGTTGTAACAAGCTCGCTGGTCTGCTAAGCACTCTCCGGTGTGGAACCTGTCGCATTTAGGGCACCTCGGCTGTTGACCCTGAGTGGGTTGGTCGCCACGTCTGCCGAAGTTTCCTTTCTTTCCCTTCTTCTTGTTCTGAAAGTCGGACTTCCTCTTGCCCGAACTAGAGCCGGACGGTACAAATGAGATGGGCTGAGCGTACTGAGCAACAGTCTGATAAGGAAGAGAGGCATGATAATATGAAGGGACTGGGGCTATCGGAATGAGACAGCTCTCTACCTCCTGAGCCCGACTAACAGTGTCAGCGAAAGACATCGGCCCGTGACTTCCCACCAGTTCACGGATCCTCCGGTTGAGCCCCTTAAGAAACTTGCGGGCCTTCTTGGCATCGGTGTTCACTGCGTCGCTCACAAAAAGGCACATGCGGGTGAAGGTACGGATATACTCATCCACTGTGGAGCTGCCCTGCTGCAAGTGGTAGAACTCATGCTCCATTCTGTCCCAAAAGCTCTGGGGAAGGAACTTGCTGCGCACCATCACTTTTATATGCTCCTAAGTGAGAGCATGAAGCTCCGCCTCTGGCCTCCGGGCCCAGTGGTCAATCCACCAGTCAGAGGCGTCCTCCTTCATCTGATAAGCTGCGAGGGATACCCGCTGACGGTCCGGGAGGGGGAGTACCGCAAAAATCTTATCCAGCTCTTTCATCCACTCCAGCACCGCTGTGGGGTTCTCAGTCCCCGCAAAAGTGGGTGCATTCATCCTCTGAAACTGGACGATAAGCTGAGTGAGGTCTATGGCCAGAGGGGCCTGGTGCTGACGAGGCGGAGAAGGTTGCGGGGATGCCTGACGGTTACGGTTGTTGTTGCGAGTATTCATACTACATTGAATAAGCCGAACAAAGTTTAACACAAAAACAAACAAAATAATCAATACTTATAGAAGTCTAGAGTTCGCCAATAAACACTAGAGTTCGATTAAATCAAGGTGGATAGGTCCTAAGCCCCAAAATAACAATTGCACCACAAGTAGTTTCATTACCACATGTGTTCCATTTACATATCAAGTATTTTCGTTAATACTTAAATCAAACATACCTTAAGCAGCGCGGAGTGACGGAGACGAGTGGTCATAACACAAGGTCTAAACACATAATCACATATGTGCCAGTCTACAGAAACGGACTGGCTCTGATACCAAACTGTAACACCCCACTTTGATTTTAAAGA